ATGCAAGGAGATTTGATAGGTGGTCTGGGTGATGGTTTGGGGAAAAACACGTCATTGACTACGCTGAGCCTTACAGTCAACAATTACAGTGAAATGCAAGGAGATTTGATAGGTGGTCTGGGTGATGGTTTGGGGAAAAACACGTCATTGACTACGCTGAGCCTTACAGTCAACAATTACAGTGAAATGCAAGGAGATTTGATAGGTGGTCTGGGTTATGTTTTGGGGAAAAACACGTCATTGACTACGCTGAGCCTTACATTCAACAATTACCGTAAAATGCAAGGAGATTTGATAGGTGGTCTGGGTTATGTTTTGGGGAAAAACACGTCATTGACTACGCTGAGCCTTACAGTCAACAATTACAGTGAAATGGGAGTATTATGGGCATGTGGTCTGGGTTATGATTTGGGGAAAAACACGTCATTGACTACGCTGAGCCTTACAGTCAACAATTACAGTGAAATGCAAGGAGATTTGATAGGTGGTCTGGGTGATGGTTTGGGGAAAAACACGTCATTGACTACGCTGAGCCTTACAGTCAACAATTACAGTGAAATGCAAGGAGATTTGATAGGTGGTCTGGGTGATGGTTTGGGGAAAAACACGTCATTGACTACGCTGAGCCTTACAGTCAACAATTACAGTGAAATGTGAACGTCATTGACTACGCTGAGCCTTACAGTCAACAATTACAGTGAAATGCAAGGAGATTTGATAGGTGGTCTGGGTTATGTTTTGGGGAAAAACACGTCATTGACTACGCTGAGCCTTACAGTCAACAATTACAGAAAAACTGGAGAATGGTTGGGTGATGGTTTGGGGAAAAACACGTCATTGACTACGCTGAGCCTTACAGTCAACAATTACAGTTACATTAGAGAAGAGTGGACACTTGGTCTGGGTGATGGTTTGGGGAAAAACACGTCATTGACTACGCTGAGCCTTACAGTCAACAATTACAGTGAAATGAGAGGAGATTTGATAATTGGTGTGGGTTATGGTGATGGTCTGGCAAAGAACACATCGGTTGTTAGCCTGAACCTTAAACTCAGTAACTGGAATAACTTGTATGAAGACTGGATACATGGACTGGTTGATGCTTTGGTAACAAACATGTCATCAACTGCAATTAGCCTTGAAGTAAATATCTTTGGTGAAGGAAGCAAAAACTGTGAAAGTATTTTAGCGTAAAGACATTTGGTAGATCAGTGTAAGTAGTTGATTCCCCTTTTGATAAATTAGTGGAGAAAGCTCATTCAGGTGTAAGAAGCAGGTGTAAAACCCAAGATCTCTCCAATAAGATGAGAATACATGGCCAAAGGGCGTGAACGAAGGCCCGTAGGGCCTGAGCCCCTAGGGGGGTCTGGGGGCATGCTCCCCCAGAAAATTTTTAAAAATTAGACCCTCGGAAATGCATTTTCCTGCACTCTGAGGCTCATTTTTTTAACTCTCTCAATCAAAAAGTAATGAAAATAAAATAGGGCAAAAACAATTATTAGACATTGTTATGAAATTAGTGAAGAACATGGTGTTAAGTGTCAAGTGGTTTTGCCTTGTCTCAAAGTTGACAAGTTGTCATTTTTGCGGAATTCTGCATTGGCGGGCGTGAATTGATAATTGGCAACTGAGTTTAACTGCTTGTTCTATTACATCTTTTGCTTTTGATACAGGGGCCCATTGATGGAAATTTGTAACAAGGAGTCAAGCATGTCATCTTTCAATGAATTTCAAAGCCTTATCTTTATTCACTTCAAATCGCTTGCGCCTCTTTCTGGCCAGGCATTAGTCACAGACAGGCTCTGGGCTACAGCAGACAACTTCATCAGGTTTGGAAACATTACTTTGAGTGATGAAATGCTGCATATCTTGGTTAGCAACCACTCAGTTGGAGTATTCCCTGGCTTTGGGAATCCTGTGCAACGAACTTGAGGTGTTCTCACTCAGACTTAAGGGCTTCAACCTCTACCTAATCTGTGGCACCAATGTGGTCTCCAAGTGTGGATATATGGTTCACCCCATAGCTCTTGAAATCAGTGGCTTCCTTTGGAGGGAGACATTGCAATGAAAGATTGAAATGGCTTGAACAAGTGGCAGAGAAGGGAATCTTGTTGATATGTTCTCTTTCAACCTTGCCATGTAAGTTGTAATTACATCACATTTCTTGAAAGAAGGAACTTTATGTAAGCCCCTTCTCTGTGACAAATACTGTTGAGCTCTCCCAATAGTAGGATAGTAGATATCTGTCAAAATCAAAATGCTTAACTACAAAGCCTGGAAAAAGGAAGGAAAAGGACTGTGGACTGCCTATACTTTTTTTTCATTAACTTTAGTCAATTTTCTAGGATTGAAAAGTAAGAAAAATTCAACTGATACTTCATTTATTTCATAGCACAGTGGTAATCAGTATCAGAGAAAAACACCCAAGCTTTGTGTGCTAAGCATACTTCACCTCATTTTTCTGATTTGATAAAATAGGAAATGCCTAGTCTAGTACCCAGACCTTTCATGGCCAAGTGGCTGTACAATTCAGTTAGAGGAGAGACTTTGAGAAAGACCTTCCTGTCTTAATTGACTCCTCTTTCAGAAAGAAAGGTGTAATAGTTACTGCCATTTACTAAATGTCTTGTTACATGCACTCAGGTATCCAGTGAGTGTCATGTGCTTGATTGAAAATATGACAAGGGGCTGGTTACATCCTACATTATGGCATGTACAAGTGACGGTTCATGATGTTCACAATGTTCTGTACTTGGAGATCAATAATTCTCCTTGAGTGAAACTGGTGTGGAGTTCTATTTCAGTTTGAATTTATTTTAAATTCTTCCTTTATTTTATAGGACTTGCTGAACTCTCAAAAATATTTAAACTCTGCAAACCACTTAAGTCAACAGAACAGGTAAGGATTATTTTGTCATCACTCAAAAACTATGATAACACTTGTCATAGGAAGTAGGATTTTATCATTACATTGTAACTATCTGTTAGCCTATTTACTACATCATTGCTATAATAATAAAGTATTATCATTTGTCTCTCAATGTGATCACTTATGATGTAGATCAGGATGTTTTGACTGCATACTGCTAGTCTTCATCAGGTGATAAGGTTGACTGGATTAGGATCTTTTTATAAAGCAAGATGCACCACTGTAATTGGTTGTTTTTTTCTACCGCCATGATTGGCACGTTTCAACCCTTGATGTTAGTGAGTGTTCCCTTGGTGGTCTGCCGTCATATGGCTCTTCAGTTGTAGTGTTATTTTTTTTTGTTTTTTGTTTTTGTTTTTTTATAATGGGCATCCACACTTCAGGATTTTGTATTCTACTGTTCCTGTTGATGTTGTTAGGGTAAAGTCTTAGGTCTCTCTGACCCTTGGAGTGTACCAGTGAGGATTACAATCAATCAACTTAACCTCACTCCAAAGCAGTTGTTGTCCAGTGTTGTTGGCGTGCTCTGAAACAGCAGAGGTCTGGGCATGGGCTGGTCGGATATCTTGGTCATGCTTCTAGACTAGTGCAACTTTACTCCTGACACTTTGGTTATCTTTCTCTCCCTCTCTCACCCAGTCTCACTCTTCCATTTCCTCCTGATATCTCTCAGTCTGGTGTCTCACATGGCTTGATTTTGTGAGTTTGAGCGTGTGGCTTGAGTTTGTGCTTGATTTTTGTGAAAAAATTTACCTGAAAAATGTAGAATTTAGGGCTTCCTTGTAGATGTGCCTTTGCTGAATTCCAGTATTGTCGTTATTGTTGCTGTTTATTATCATTAGTAGTAATAGTAGTTAGTAGTAGTACTATTTTCATTATTATTATTATTAGTAGTAGTAGTATTATTATCATCTGATTTTAATTAATGTCATTATTCTTATTATTGGTGCTCAACTGTCTCCCTAACTCTTGCTGTATGTCTTCCCTTCTGACCCTCTTCCATATATTGTTTCACCAATTATTTATTTTTTGTTTTCATTTTAGATCCCTCACATGTTAGGCTGGATTCGCAATTCTTTCACAACCCTAGCCATGGGTGATTATCCTTACCCAACAGACTTCCTGGCTCCACTTCCTGGGCATCCTGTGAACTTGGCATGTAAAATGATGGCAAGTGCATCATCCAAGGTTGAAGGTCTGGCTGAGGTCACAGTATTAGTCTACAATGGCACTAATGGTACACTGACTTGTCTTGATCCAGATACAGAGTACATTGAATGTGCAGACCCTACTGGGTGTGGCCTGGGTCCAGACAGCCTTGTGTGGGACTATCAGGTATTGGGTTGCATGTCCTACTTATCCACAGTTCTAATTTCTCTTTACAATCTATCCCTTGAATCAAATGTTTAAGCTAGGAGAATAACAGAAATGATCAGCAACTAACAAAGCTCTTGATGGTTTTACAAATTCTCCTTGTTAGAACCTAGGAAATGTATAGAGAACAGTATGGAGAATATGTATAATGATGTTAGGGTGTAAAGGGTTAACCATGGTTTCCATGGGATATAGGAACTAGTTAGGATGATTGGCTTAAGTATTATGTGTGCTATACTCTATCTCTAAAGCTCCCAGTTCAAACTCTGATGGAATCACTGTGTTGTGTAAGAGGCTTCATCTATTCAGGATCTTTTTCTGTCCAGGGATGCATGGGCACTTTTTGGGAAACCAGGTGAAATGCTGAAGGGGTAACCTTGTCATGGACAAGCATCACAGCAAGTGGAGATATTCAGTACTGCTTAACACTTAACACTTCATGCCAATGAGATAATTGGATATGCATGTAAAGAATGGCTGGCTCATGAGCTGACATGACCTTACCAGATTTTTTAAGTGATTATTTTATGTGAAGTTTCCTTCTTGAATCATTTTCTATAAAGAATAAACCTTTCTTGCCTGCTCATGTTCAGGAAACAAATGACACATATAATCCAAGCTTTGCTTGTCCACTGAACTATTCAAGAATTTTGTTTTTTCAATTTGTCAAAATAAGATTTTTATTTTATCTTTTCAGGTTTGTGCTGAGCTTTCTCTTCCAGCTGGTTCTAACAACAAGACAGACATGTTTCCACCTCTGCCATGGACTCCAGAAATGATATCCACATACTGCCAGAAAAAATGGGGTGTGGTACCTCAACCTAACTGGGCACCAATACAGTTCTGGGGGAAAGGTTGGTTTCCTTAAGACATTGAAATACATAGTAGGAGATCTTGTTAGATTGAAAAGGAAGAATTTTATTAAGGCAGCTACTAAAAACAGGGTAAGAATTGACCAATTGCTTTGCTACCTCATCTGGATGGGATGTTAGAGGATTGCTGTTGACTCTCTCAGACATGGTTTCTTTTGTAAGCTCAACTGCCACCAAAAAGCACTCCTGGTAGGAATGAGTGTGAATCAGTTGTTGTTCACAGCATGTGGTTGTGATGCTGAGCGGGGCTTGATTGAACCAGACCTTTTAATCTCAACTCTATCATGCTAAGCATTGGGTTACACTATTGTTTCAAGTCCCATTTTCATAGATCCACTCCTTTTCCTTTCTGAATGGCAGCAATATCAGTATTTGATTTTAAAAGTGATCCAGAATTTTTGTCAAAATTAAAACACCTGGAAAAAGTCCAGAATGTGCGATGACTAATCAGATGAGACTTGAAAACAAATCTTTAAACTAGGATTCCTGTCTGTATTGAAAATTGATGTATTTATTTTCCTTGATACAATAGTATTTCACACTTATTTCAGTGACCACAGTTTTCTGAGTTTCTTGGTTAGTGTTTAAGTCATTGTGAACTCTTCCTTATTCTAGTTTTATGGTCAGAGAATTCCTAATTGTAGTGCAAGAATAAAAAACATTTTATGGTATTAAATGGTTTTTCAGATATATCTTCATCTTCTAATATTATTTTTTCCAATGGTGACCTGGATCCATGGAGACCTGGTGGGGTAAGTTAATGGTTTTTGAAAAGCTCTTGTTGCTTCCATTATTGATGGAATCATAGATGGTTGTTGGATTTAAAATGTATTGATTGTATTTTAGGTGTTAGAAGATGTCTCACCAACACTGGTGGCACTTCTGGTCAAAGGTGGAGCTCACCATCTTGATCTGAGGTATGTTTTAACCTTTTCAGTGACCAAATTGATCAATATGAAAATTCTCCTTGCATTTTTCTTATAGAGGTTAAGCCAGGCAGGTAATGAGAATAAAGAAAATTGTCAGCTATGAGTTACCTCCTGATAGAAGGTCAATGGTCTCTACTCTAGCCAATATCTAAACATATGATGATGTTTGAGAGAATTTTATCTGAGATCTTGGAGCACATTGGGTGGTAAATTCCTATTTGGAGATTTCCTTCATTCTTCCTGGTGTGCAACCTTCATTTTTAAATTTGTTTCTTTTTGGATTTATTATTAATTTATTATTAGATTTTTACCTGAAGGATAAACTTTTATCAGTGGTTCCTGATCTCCTTTGGTAGATTGCTATGTAGGTTTAAAAGAAAAGCATCTGCTTCAAGCTGGTTTTCACAATGTTTTCTGATAATTATTACTAGTTCTGTTTTATTAATTACTGATGTATATAATTTTGATATTCAGAGCTTCCAATCCACTGGACCCTCCAGCAGTGACACAAGCACGAAAACAAGAACTGGAACTAATCCAAAAATTCTTACATTAGAGCAATATTATAAATCTCAATGGACAATAACTACAGTTTTCTTAATAATGTTTTTCTTATGCATCAATTCAATTATAATAACCAGACCTGTCTTATTTTGTGATGTATAAAAGAAATAGCATTTCAAAGAAAAGTCAATTTATGGTGCACAACTTCAAATAAAATTTACATGGAGCATTGCAACATGCTAATTACGAATTAGACCTTATGAAGGAATTTGAATTTTAATGATTTCATGCCAGAGACTAGACATGAGACTTGGATGAGATTCAAAGGCCTTGTGTTGGTTTAATGCTGTTGATGAATGTCTTTTTAAGAACAATAAACTTTTTGATAATAATATCTACATTTTCTCGTTTTTGTGTACGCGTTTTTGTTTGTTTTAATCCAATAATCAGCCCTATTATAATGATGTTTCAGTGGTCTCGGTGACGTGACAGGTCGAATGATTCGTCACCCAAAGTCACGCAATCTAAAGGTTAGCTTGTTACAAAACTCGTACTCCTCTAACCCCCAGAAGACGTTGTTAGGCAGCTGCCCGCATCATGTGACCAAAATAATTTAGAACTACGCACGCCCATAACAATACTTTCTCTCAGAATTAATGCCGAAAGGTTATCTTTGACTGAGTTGACTTCTTGCTAGAGAGCGTTTGCGTCAATCACGGGTTGAGTTCAATATTTCTTCAGCTCGTAATCATGTCTTCAAGGGATTGGTTCACCGGAGAAGTTGTGGTCATCCCTTTTAGAGGCTTTTAGCAGTGAAAACCAGTGGCAATAATCAGCAACAGTTTACATGCGCGTCAGTTATCAAAGGTATTCGATTGAGGAATTACGATTTTTTTACGTTTCAGGACCTGTTCGATGCCACTTCCAGATGTAAAGATACCTTTGGTATCTTCAAATGTGTAGGTTGTTCTCAAGCAATTTATCGTGAGAAAACATACAAATTTGAAATATCAGATTCCAGCGTTCGTGAGGCCTTTCAAATGTGCTGAGGTTGCAACGTTTGCGCCGACTGGAAATTAAACTGGCATAAAGCTCTTCTTCTTTGCTAATTCAAGGTTACTTCTTCCGAAGAAGCCCATTCAATTAGGGAATTTTGTTAAACTTTCCTAAGTTAATGTTTGAAAAGTGTGCGTAAAAAAATGTGCGTTTCGTCTCTGGATTTGCATTGTTCGTGCTTTCGTTGCATTGCATGTCTTTATAACTGTGAGGTGTTATAAGGGAGATGATACCATGAAACGTGGTACCATGAATTGTGTTTGTTTTCGGTCCACTTGTCCGAATAACTGACGGATTAGCCATTGTATGTGGAACACTTTAATTTTAGGATTGTGGAATTTCGTTCAGTTGAAATGCTTAGTAATCCACGCATGAGAAATGTGTTTCAAGTTTAAATTTGCATCTCAATGAAGACATTTGTGTTGCTGTACCCTTCCCCTGCCAAGGCGAAATGGAAGCAAGGGAACCCTCCTTTGCTTTCCTCCTGTTCCCTTGCTTGTGCTGTTTCACTTTGAGGGGGAGGGTACAGCCACATGTAGGCTAACATTTGTGGAGGATGATCTGTTCATTTAAAATATGAATTTATTTTCCAT